GGCCCCGGGCCTGCCGGAATAGCCAGGGTTTGATAGCTTTTCGGAAGGCCATGAGAGGGGGGAGGGTCCGGATCTCTGGGGGTAGTTCGTTCCATAGGGTCGGAGCGGCTACAGAGAAGGACCTCCCCCGTGGCACCACCAGCCGACATTGGCTGATGGCACCTGGAGAAGGCCCACCCTGTGCGATCTTGTCGGCCGTTGGGAGGTATGCGGCAGAAGACGGTCTCGCAGATATCTGGGTCCTAGGCCCTGTAGGGCTTTAGAGGTAATGAACTGTTGTAAGTCGAGGACTGGCTGCAGCCTCTCCATCCATTAGCCAGCATTTTTTGCCTGTGTGTCTCAAATTGCTCCAGGAATTTTGAGAAACAAGAAGTGTGGCTTTTATACACACAGAGATCGGAAGAGAGCCTGGTGAGGAGCAACCTGTAATTTTATTAGTTTAATGGTGGGCCTCTGGGAGTAAATATCCAGAGAATGGAGCGTTGTTGTGTCATTGAGCCAACTGAAGACTTCCCTTGGTGTGACATGATTCAAGATTTGCTGTGGGTCAAAGGTAACCTGTAACCTGGCTTGTTCTTTCTTTCCTTCCCCAGGAAAGGGAGCGAGAGAGGGATCGGGAGAACCGGCAGCGGGAACGGGAGCGCGAGAGGGAGCGGGAGCGGGAGCGAGAGAGGCGGCAGAGAGAGCGGGAGCGTGAAAGGGAACGGGAGCGGGACAAGGAGCGCCAGAGACGGAAAGAAGAGTGGGAGAGGGAGAGGGAGCGCATCAAGCGAGATGACAAGGAACGCCCACACCGGGACCGAGATCGGGAACGGGAGAAAGAGCGCGAGAAAGAGAAAGAGAAGCCAAAACCTCGATCGCCACAGCCAGCCAGGTATGGATTGCGTTCGTCGGTCTCGTGAAGGCTTCTCCAAGCTCAGCAACTTTTAAGACTCGTGGGCTTCAATGCCCAGAATTTCCCAGTAGCTGCGGGATTCTGGGAGTTGGAAGTCCACGAGTCTTAAAAGTTGCGAGTTTGGAGACCTCTGATCTTCGGTTCCAGGTGGCTCACAGCTCCTTAGCTCAGCTCTGGGAATGTTGAGTCTAGCCAGAGGCCTGTGTTTGGCAGAGTTAGGATCGGGTTATCCCCAAAGGCTGGAGAAGCACAGGCCTCTCCTTGGAGCACTTAGAAAATATTGGGAAGATTGTCTTGATCCCGCCACAAATTACAGAAGGATTCTGGTGGTTTCCCTGTGTCTTTGTCTTTTGTCCCCCCAAAAAACTCCTTCCCTTCTTTTTAAGCAGCTTGAATAATTTGTGCCGAATGTGGGCTCTTCTTGGTATCGGTGGGGTTAGAAGGTTGTCGTCTTTTTTTGAGAACAGATTGGAATGACGCATCCCGCAGGGTTGTCCTATATATAGGCTTTTATTTCTGTTCATATAAAGAATGGTTGCTGGAATTGGGTATGTCTAGCTTAATGAAAAGAAGGACTAGAGGTGGCATCATAGCGATATCTCAGGGGCTGCCGCGAAGAAGAGGGCGCCAAGCTATTCTCCAAAGCACTCGAGGGCAGGACAAGAAGCCATGGGTGGAAAGTAACCAAGGAAAGAATCAATCTAGAACTAAGAAAAAAATTAGATTAGATTAGATTAAATTAGAGGTTTATTTATATGCCGCCCTTTTCCCTGGGGGGACTCAGGGCGGCTCACAACCCAAAGGGGAGGGGGAAACAGACTTTTTACATATAAGACAATACATGGTTAAAACACAACATTCATACCATTTGGGCGGGTTACAATCTTTAGCCCCAGGCCTGACGGGATAGCCAGATTCTGAGGGCTGTGCGGAAGGTCTGGAGGGTGGTGAGGGTACGAATCTCCACGGGGAGATCGTTCCAAAGGGTCGGAGCTACCACCGAGAAGGCTCTCCTCCGCGTGGTTGCCAATTCCTTGACAGTGAGAACAATTCATCAGTGGGACAGCTTGCCTCCAGAAGTTGTAGATGCTCCGACACTGGAGGCTTTGGAGAAGAAATTGGACTACCATTTCTCTGAAATGGGATAGGGCTTCCTGCATGAGCAGGGGGTTGGACTAGAAGACCTCCAAGGCCCCTTCCAACTCTGTTGTTCTGTGCGGTGTGTTTTTCTCAATGCCAGTTGCCTCTCCAGCTCAGCCTTCTTCGCTCTTGGCAGAGCAGTGAGCCAGACCCGAGGACTGCCAGATCCCTCCCCTGGCATTTCTGGCATTCTTGTCCTTGAGTTGTGCCAACAGCCTCAACGGCTTGGCTCGGGATGCGTGCCAGGAAAGTGCATTGTGTCCCAACCTCTGCTTCACTCTACAGTACGAATGCGTGTGAATAATCTGGTGAAGTCCGGTTGATGTAAGACCGAAATGTACACCAATTGCTAAAAGTCAATTTTCCCAGGCCCATGCGCTTTTCCGCCTTGGAGAGGAAGTCGCATTGTGGTCCCTCAGAGATTTTTCCCCATTGACAGTTTTCCACAAAGACCCCAGGTGGCCCTCCGTAATTCGGCTTGATTTCCCGGGGGGGGGGGGGGGACAGGGAGAACGTTGGAGGGGATTTGATAAAAAGAACTCTTCCTGAGGTTGCTCGGTGTTTTTAATGCTTTTTAAATCACTGCTACACAATGGTACTAATTTGTTTTCTGTATATGCTGTTTATTGGGTTGCTGTACGCTGTCCAGAGCCACTTTTCATGAGAGGGGGGGGTGGTATATAAATTCAATTAATTAAAGTAAGTTAAAAATAAATACAGCCTTCAGCTTCCAGAAATTGGCCCAAACGTTACATGCCTTTAATTCTGAAGAATCATGCTTAAATCCTCTACCAATTTTCTTGATGGTAAGCTCATCCCAGACAGAGAGGGTGGTCCAATCTCATCTTAAAAACTTCAAAATAGAATATTCTTTGACTTATTTCTGAGTAAAGATTCATACAAATTGTCATTCAATAAACCACCTGCATTTATGGTTTTTCTCCCCCCCCAAAGAAAAGTAACAAGGAAAGTGGCTCTTGACTTTTGCAACTCCAGCAGATCTCATCAGTTTATCTGCAGATCTACCCTCACTCGGTTGACGTTTGAACAACTGGGAAGTAGATTTTATTTTTGTCTTTCAGGAATGCTTATTTTTATTACGTGTGTTTAATTAATTGCAATCTTTTGACTCAATATGCGATGCTTTTATTACCCATCGTCTGTGTTTTGCATAAACTGATGTCTAATTATAGCAATCTTTTGTGTGCATTCTTTCTGTGTAACTACCGGCTTCTTACTTGGAGTGGGAGTGACTTCACTTTAATTGACTTTATTTATAGACTGCTGTGCTTTCCCTAATCGTTAAAACTTGGCTCAGCTCTTGGCAACTTTGCCCTCTTGCGTAGTTTTGGACTGATGCTTCCAAAGAGTCACGTGACCTGATGGAGATTCCAGAATGCCTCTGATGTAGGATTGACTCCATTTCTGTCATCTGCCATAAGACACATTTCCTGATGTGTAAAAACACAATAATAATTATTATTATTATTATTATTATACAATTGTATCACAGCAGCCAGTTGTTTCGCCGGATTTGGCATTGTTTACTAGTCGGGCCCCACCCAGGGGCCTAGGACGTCGTAACGTATTTTCGTAATATGCGTGCAGATCCAAGCAGTGCGGCTTTTTGCATTTGACTGATGGTGATTTTGTCAACTTTTAACTGTTTTAAATGTAATTCCAGTCCTTTTGGAATAGCACCCAGTGTGCCAATTACCACTGGAATTACCACTGCTGGTTTGTGCCATAGTCGTTGAATTTCGATTTTTAAGTCCTGGTATCTTGCGATTTTTTTCGTGTTCCTTCTCGTCAACCCTGCTATCACCTGGTATTGCGATGTATTGTTGTTGTTGTTGTTGTTGTTGTACAATTGTATCACAGCAACCAGTTGTTTCGCCGGATTTGGCATTGTTTACTAGTCGGGCCCCACCCAGGGGCCTAGGACGTCATAACGTATTTTCGTAATATGCGTGCAGATCCAAGCAGTGCGGCTTTTTGCATTTGACTGATGGTGATTTTGTCAATTTTTATTATTATTTATTTATTTATTATTATTATTATTCCAGTGGTAATTGGCACACTGGGTGCTATTCCAAAAGCACTGGAATTACATTTAAAACAGTTAAAAATGGACTACCTGTGGATGGTTTGGGGCTCAAGGTACAAGTGGCAAATTTGCAGCTGGGCTTTCTTGAGGAGCTCCTCACACCCGGCCTTTGAGGCTCCGTGTTGCTGATTGCTCATTTCTGTGGCTCCTTGTCAGTTGCTCCGGAGAAGGGGGGGGGGGGACCTTGGATGACTTGTGGGCTTCAGCTCCCAAAGGCCCTGGGGCAGACATGCTCCACCATGCTGGCACCCAGGCACGGTGGAAGTTGACGTCCACCAGTTCCCCACCTATGCTCCAGGGGAGGGGTGGGCACGCGTTCCCTCTTCGCCCTGTAAATTAGGCTGAGAGTTCACAGGTGGTTCAACCCCACCCCAAAGGAACTTCCTCTCTGAGTGGAAATTGGGCTCTCCCATTGCTCCATCCTCCCAACCTCCTCGGAATCCGTTGGCACACGGGCGGGCGGGCGGGGGCTGAAGCTGGCACAGGTTCCCCATTGTGCAGAGCTGGCAAAGCCTCGCCTCAAATCCCTTTTCGACCCCTCTGCACCTCTCCTTTCACCCGGTGGCCTCGGATTCTCACGCTCCCGGCAGGGTGGTTGGGTGAAGCTGGTGCCGGATGCTCCCCTGCAAACCTCCCCAGGTGAGCTGGCAGAAAGTGGTGATGCAGCCGAGGGTTTTCCTGGCTGCTCCGTCACTTGTATCTGGTTGTGAAAAACTGAAGCTCTGAGGCAAGAATCCGGGCCAGGAAGTTCAAATGATGCGGCGTGGCAGTTGTAGCCGGTGCAGAGGCATTTTTGGAGCTCACCGTGACGTCATCTCGATGGGCTGGGAAGAATCCTGCCTTTCTCTCTGGCCACTAAAGGGGGGCAAGGAGGCAGAACGGAAAGGGCAAGAACAGCAGAGAGACCGATGGGAAGGCTGCCAGTCGCTGGCAAATTGATTTACTGCCAAAGGAAGCAGGCTAAAATTGGGTGTGTTTTTTTTAAAAAAAAAAAGAAAAAAAAATCATGAAATTCGGTCTATTTAATCACAGGTTGTTCTTTCCTGATGTTGTTTTTTTTAAAGATAATCTCTGCTACCGT